TCTGCGATGATATTGGCAGACGGCTGAAGATTCTTCAAGACATGTGGCAAGCTGGGAAGCTGTCTGAAACCGTGCGGAAAAGGATGCACACACTCGCACAAGGTGATTGGAGAGAGGAAAACTGTGAATTATAGGAAATTGAAATGAAAAGAGAAAGTGCACAGCAATTGGAACACCAACAATTTTTAATCTTGTTTGTTGATTAGCTCCAGATTATGGCTCAGTAAATCATGGCCCCTCTGAACTGTTTTAAAACTACTAGAGTTATTTCACATGAGAACAATGGAGAGAGGAGACATTTATGACAGAAATCTGGGCTGGATTTGGTCACAAATAAGAGTGAACAAATTTAGTGGTCTCCTCACTCCTCACTGGTTCAAAGTTTTTGAGTCCCACGGGTTAGTGAGCAGCAATAGATATACTTACGGAAGGGGAAGGGAGTAAACCCGAAGATTTCAACTCATTTCAAAGAAAATCATTAACACAAAGCATAATTCTTCAAATGTGATAATATGGGATATTCTGTCATTTCCCGCGTTTTAAAGACTAATTTATATCCTCACGTGTGCCTGTTGACAGAGATGGCGCAACACAATTGGGACTCCGCTGACGAGATGCACAGATCGCTGATGGTTGATCACGTGAACGAAGTGGGACAGTGGATGGTCGGAGTGAAGCGTCTCATTGCCGAAACCAAAAATCTTCCGCCTGGCCTCATTCTCCCCAAGGAAGAAGGGTGTGAGTCGGAGGAAAAACTGAGTGTCTGAGTTTGGATCGCTTCTGCTGATCCTACTTGACGGAACTGCTTCTACAGTAAGAATTGCAACAGGATTCCAGGATCGAAATGACAGACAAAACAGAATAAAACATTTTTAACGATGCCTGCATTTAGCAGAAGAAGGGAATACATTCTCCAGCTGCACTGTATTACAAGCCTGCTCAGTTTACAGAAAAAAAAACTTGTAGTCTTAAAGTAATGGATTTGGATTTTCTCATCGATTGCCTCATCTTAACACTTGGAATAGGTTGAGGCTGACAATCCTGCTCTATGGGTTGGGCTACACCACTTTGGAAATTCTCCTGCAACACACCAAAAAAAATACTTTTTGAAAATCACCTTGTACTGTACGTTGCAGGAGGAGTTTTGGCACTCGGTGGACATTTTTCTCGCGGTTCATAGTCCCGTTACCTTTGCTTAAACCTCGTTCGCAAAAAAACAAGAGTGGTTATCGCTCTCCTGCTGCCTTCTTAACTCACTCTTATTTTCCCAAACAACATTATTAAAGATTTAAAACGGGGGGGAAAAGTTACCTTGAAATATATTTTTGGTGTTTGTTCATATAAAGTGTTTCTGATTTTCCTCTCTTGCATAATACGTATGTGGGGGGGGGAGGGGGGGTGTATTGCCTCTTGCCTTTCGTGGGGATTTGATGTCCCACTGACCTGTCACTCGCTCGCGCTCTTAGTTCCAGTTCCCATCACAAGAACTCCCTATAACCCTCGGTGTCAGCCTGGGTCCGTGACCACCACGTCGCTCACCTCCGAGTCAAAACGTTCGCCGACAAATTACACAGTCACTACACTTTACAGTAAATCCCGGGAAGCGTTTTCAGCGTTCCCCCGCCCTCCCCATCCCCCGGCCGATTGCAGCAGCCAATTGCTCACAGCAGCGTCCCACAAACAGCCGTGGATGGAGCGACCAATGTGATTATTTATTTTAAAAAGCATTATTACCCCCGGAAGATGACGTGTTGTCTCCCGGGCGTAGATTGGCCAATTTTTTTTTGGTGGGGGCGCGGGGGGGGGGTGGTGGGGGGGTTGGCTGGTGGCGGTGGTTAATGTTTTAGAACCGAGCACTTAAGAAAAGATCTTGAAAACAAAATCGCAAAGAAAACACAACAGATACGACGAATGCGTCAGAGGTATAAATTTTAAAATAAATGACTTACTAATGAATATAAATTTGGGGGGGAAGTGGTTAAAAAAAAACCGCCCGATCGGGCGCGAACCCGCCCAATCCGCAACACACTGGCCGCCCCGGGGCTTGCACTGCGCAGGCGCCGGCTGCCGGCAAACGCTCGCCGTCGTCGTCGTCGCGTCGGTCCGGCACTTGTTTGAAACGGCTGCTCCGATTGGTCGGTTCCGCCGGAGCTCATAGACCGCCGTCTCTGATTGGACGAATCTCCCTCTCCCTCCCCCCTCGCCCCTCCCCCACATCGTAGCAACAACGCCGCCGCCGCCATCTTGTAGCGGGACCTGAGAGGTCGGTGAGGCTGAGTGGATCTCTCGGCGCCTGAGCCACACGGTGAGAGCTCCCGGGGCCCGCGCGTGTCTCTCGGTGTGTGTGTGTGTGATTTGTGGTCAGGGACCCGGCGGCGCGCGCGAGAGAGAGAGAGAGAGAGAGCGGCCGGTGCTCCCCCCCCACTCCCCCTCTCTCCCTCCTCGGGGAGGGGGGCACCGGCCTGTAAACCCGCAGCTCATTGGTCACCGGCCACTGAGACACCAGAGACACAGACACAGTGATACAGAGACACAGTGACATACATACACACACCCAGTGACACAGACACACAGACACACAGTGACACACACACAGATACACACACACAGTGACACAGACACACAGTGATATACAGAGACACACACACAGATACACACACAGTGACACACACACACAGAGATATACAGTGACACATACACAGATACACACAGACAGTGATACACTGACACACACATACAGTGATACACTGACACACACATACAGTGATACAGAGACACACACAGTGATATACAGTGACACACACACAGATACACACAGACAGTGATACAGAGACACACACAGTGATATACAGTGACACACACACAGATACACACAGACAGTGATACAGAGACACAGACAGTGATACAGAGACACACACAGTGATACAGAGACACACACACACAGTGATACAGAGACACACACACACAGTGATACACTGACACACACAGTGATATACTGACACACATAGTGATACACAGACACACACACACAGTGATACAGAGAGAGACACACATACAGAGAGAGAGAAGAGATACACATTCACTGATATATATATATTATGTATATAAAATACACACATCCACATAGTGACAGATCACCGAGTGAGAGACACCCACACACCACACAGGGAGACATTTATATACACATAGATACATAACAACAACGACAAGATTTTATTTATAGAGTGCCTTTCACGTCGGGAAGATGTCCCGAGGCGCTGGACAGTTGGGTCGGGATCCGAGCATTGGGGGAAATGGTCAGGGTGAGGGGAGGGAAGGGAGGGAGCGAGGAGGGGGTAGAGAGTCGAGAGTGGAGCTGAAGGCACGGTCAAAGAGAAAGGTCTTGAGACCGGCCTTGAAGGAGGAAAGGGAGGAGGCGGCGAAGGCACTGGGGATGGAGTTCCAGAGCCTCGGGGCTGAGAGGCTGAAGGCCACCGATGGTTGGGCGGTTGGAGCGGGGGATGTGGAGCAGACCGGAGCCAGAGGAACGGAGGGTACGGGCAGGTAGGTAGGGGGATAGTAGGTCAGAGAGGTAGGAGGGAGCGAGGCCGTGAATGGCCTTGTAGGTGAGGATGAGGATCTTGAATTCGATCCTCTGGGGGATGGGGAGCCAGTGGAGGCGAGCGAGGGTGAGGGCGAGGGTGAGGGTGGGAGTGATGTGGTCGCGGTGTCTGGTGCGGGACAGTACACGAGCTGCAGAGTTCTGAATGACCTGCAGTGTGGAGGGAGGTGGCGGGAAGGCCGGCGAGGAGAGAGTTCCCATAGTCCGGCCTTGAGGTGACAAAAGCGTGGACCAGAGCTTCAGCAGCGTGAGGGGTGAGGTAGTGCCGTAGTCTGGCGATGTTCCGGAGGTGATGGAAGGCGGTGCCAGTTGTGGGGCGGATATGAGGGAGAAAGGACAGCTCAGGGTCGAACAGAACGCCGAGGTTCCTGATGGCTTTGAGAGGTGGAGAGTGCAGCCTTGGATGCTGATGGTGTCAGCGCCTGAGGTGCGGAGGCGCTGACGACAGAATCTGCATGCAATATCAACAAGATTCTATGCATACATTGGAATCAAGGATCTGGGAGTTTTAGAAGGGGAGGAAAGGTTCCAGCTGATGTACAAGATATACAATGATCAGGTGTTTTCACTCTTGTTGCATTCACAAAGGTTTGATGGTTTATCCATTTTGAGATCAGATTGTTGGGAGTTTAATTGTAGGTCATGTGCACTGTTTACAGGTTGATTGGCGTCGTTCCTTCATCACCACGGATGCCAATCCTTTTTATGACTCGTTCGTCAAGTGGCAGTTTCTGATTCTAAAAGAAAGGAAGAAAGTCAAGTTTGGCAAAAGGTAAGTTTCGTTACGCCACAGAGACAGCAGTGTTTCTCTTGTCAATACAGACTGTTCTTTATCAATCCATCATTAAAATATAGAGATGTTGAATGGACGAGGAGAGTGATTTTTTTACACCAGATCTTTTCTTTCCTCAGATATACTATTTATTCTCCAAAAGATGGGCAGCCCTGCATGGATCATGACCGGCAGACTGGAGAGGTCAGAATACTCTTAATAATAATTATCGTTGAGATGTCTCAAAGCACTTCACAGAATATGTTGTAAATATATTTTGTAATATCTTGACTGTGTATTTTGTGAGCAAAATATTAGCTTGCGGTGACAAACTGGAGCCACCATTTTTCTCTTAGTCCTTGGCTTGTCTAGAGGCTGGCAATGTGTTTGCTCAGCTGAGGCAGAATGCACTGCAGGGTGATGATAGCAAATCTTAGTCGCTCCTAGTGGGAGTTTGTAGCTGCTCGCTTCTTCCTTCCTCTCCCATTTCTCTGTACTCCATAGAGGGCAGTAGAGCTATACCATTCCTGCACATGCCACACATCGTCAGGGTCAAGATCTGGAGCAGAAACTCTTGGACTCCCCAAACCTTCTCCTTTATAGCCATAGGACACTGAATCCTGGCTAACTTAAGAAACCTGAGGATGAGATTTTCCTGGTTTATGTACTTCTCAGTAATTATAATTATCCCTTGCCACCTTCAAGGGATGTCTGAATGCTCCTCTTCCCTGGGACGTTCTCCCGACGTGAAAGACGCTATATAAATGCAAGTTTGTTGTTGTTGTCTTCGACCGTGCCTTCGGCCGCACTCCCTGCCCTCCACCCCTCCCGGATCCCAACACCACTGCTCCAAATCCCTGACTGTCCAGCACCTTGGAACATCCTCCCAACTTGAAAGGCACTGTACGAATGTAATTTTGTGCTGTACTATTATAACAGACTGCTATATGTAAGCATTTTCTGTCAGTTGTTCATAAACATCTGATATACAGTTTTATTAAAGTGTTTTGATGTGGTAGATGCTAAGCAAGAAACTATATTTGAGATTGTAAGCAGATGTCGAAAGTATTGAAAATATGTGAAGTTGAATTTTTGAATTCACGTTTTTTTTTCCCCCTCTCCAGGCCCTCTGCGCTATTTAAGGATTTCTTTCTTGCGCTGCGTATTCCCCCTTCAGCACATACTATCTCAGAGCAATAGAGAAAACGGAGTAGCAATGGTCGTAGCCGTATATCACAGTATTGGTACCTTTGCTGTAGTACACGCTCTGAAAAAGACTGTATTGTTTGGGTTTGGAGGGAGCTGCTGGCGTGTCTAATGTATTGAAAGTTAATATGGACATTTGAGGAGCGTGATTCCTTGACCTTGGTAGTCGCTCTGACTTGCTGTCTACTTCTGTCTGCAGTGCAGAAGCATAACCGGTCCACAGCCACTCACAAATCCTACTCACTTCAACTCGTAACCATTTGATAACAGATCACTAGCATTTATAAGTTAGTAATTTAATCAAGCAGCTCTCATTTCATAAGGCACAAGAACAAGGTTTGAGCGCTGCTTCTGCCACTTTAAACTCATTGCCAGGCATTTATTACTTATTAATTATTTGTGCTCTACAAAAGTATATATCGTGTATATATATATATAAATGATTATCTTTCTGAAACAAATGCAAGTGATCTGTTATGAAGCATTGAGCATGATAGAGGAGATGTGACGGGTATAGTTATAAAGAAAAAGTTCATTGTGTTCTTTCAGTTCCTGCTTCTTCGTCTGTAATCAATTTACAGGAAGAAACAAACTGAAGTGAAAATGGTGACAAAAGGATGAAGCTATTCCTTTGAGGAAGGAGGAAGCATCTATTATCTGAGGCGGTAAAATGCCACTCTGACTGAACACTCTAGAGGTGATTTTTTAATACGTTTTATAGCTGAGGAAAGCCTCATGTGCTTGGACACATAACTGGTTTGTGTGGTCCTGGAAAAAAATATTAAGAGTGCTTTGCAAATACTGCATCTCCTTTCAGGGTTGAAATACCTTTGTTTTAAAGAAAAAAAAGCTAGTTGAAAATACTTTACACTGAAAATGCTTGCCCCTGCTTCCCATCTCCTGTAAGTGCAGGAATAACAACTTGTACGTATTATACTGTATGAATTGGTATTTTTGTTGAAGTGGGTTGGAGCCTACAACATATAGTGGTTCAGATGTTCACAAATTGCCTCAGCGTTGCCCTCGCAGTTTATAAAACAATAGCAACGCTTTGTGCCTAAATTACTATCCTGTAGGTTGAAGTTTCTTCTGGAGGGAGGAAATGTTTTTAATCTCTTCTCCTTGTCTATCAGGTATGGACCCTCAATATGATGGAGCAGAGATAACACTGGTGACAGAAGAAATTGAAGGCTGTTACAGCTGCACAAGAAGTTTTCCGCGCAAAAAGAAAAAGAAATGGAAAGATCAAAGTGAGGACGGTAGCAAAAAAGGCAAAAAGCCCAGGTGAATACACTTACATCGTCCTTGAATGCCTGATTTGGGAGGTAGCTTTAAATGGAGGGTGGGGGGAACATCGCTTACATTCAAGTAAAAAAGTAACAGGTAAAATTTATTATCAACTTTAGACCAGGCCAGGGTCAAAATTTTCCTCCGCTCAATGACGTCACTTTGATTTAAGCATTGCTTAACAGCTGAGCAATGAATGGAGGGATTACACACCCCAACAATTCCTATTCCTATTTACCCTATCATAACTTTGATCAACTTGAAGACTGTTATCAAGTTAGTTCCTATCCTCTGACAGATGCATGCTGGACCTAAGAAGATGGCAAAACCTCCACACATCGTACCGTTGCCTCCTAACTCTGAAAATCTATTGAAGGAGTGGCGCAGATTTCTAGAGGAATAAGGCTGTGGATCAGCGATGTTGGCAATTTGCCCTTGGAGTCTGTCGAGCATGCTGCTGCCAAAGTGTGACTTTGGAAAGTACTGGAAAAATTTACACTTCCCACTCACGTTATCGTGTATGTGATCAGTCTGCAAAATGTTCCATTGCCTGTAAAAGTGACATTTTATGTCCAATAACAAGAATTAAGACTCTTATTAAGGGGGACAAAATGCTCCTTATAACTGTAATAAAAACAGAAAGGCCAGAAATTAGAACTCCAATACAGTAGTTCTGATGAAGGGTCACACCTGAAATAAAATCAAGATTCTTAACCGATCATTCCTTTCATGTGACGATAGAACTGCATTTTCCACATTTTTTGTTTTATTACCTGACCCACATAGTACAGTACTTGCTGTGCCGTAGCTCAAAACCTGTAACAAAAACGATCTACATGTATATCGCGCTTTCAGGTCAGGAGAACGTCTCAAAAACGATTCATACAGTTGATTAGGAGCCCGAGCTACAACAACAAATTATATTTGTATAGCGGCTTTCACGTCAGGAGGACGTCCCAAGGCGCTGAAAATGTGAGGAGTGGAGGCTTGGTTGGGGGCGAGGGAAAAGGTGACCGAAAGCGCAATTGAAATTAAAGGTCTTAAAGTGGGGTTTAAAGGGAGAGGTGAATGGAGTTCCAAACCTAAACCTAGTTTTTGTGGTTGGTTTTGTGGCTAAATTTCATCAGTTTGGTTCACGGCCACAAAATGACAATTGAATTTAAAGAATGAGGGATTATGCTACAAGTAATATTGGTCCCGAAATAAAATACTTTTTGAATTATCCTGATATTAATAATCCTTTAGTTTATGTCCCTTCAAACTTGACCGTTTTGTTAGGGTGTGTATTTGGATAGAGTCCTAATTAAATTTTCCATATGATCCCATTGACCTCTTTGGCACCAAAATGCCGTGTTTACTAAGAAATTAAAAGATCTTGGAATGTTGCAGCGCAGATGCAAACCATTCAGCCCATTGAGTCTGCCCTGTTTTTCTCTCCATGTGAGCCAACCCATGTAATCCCACTCTCCCTCACGCCATGCGATTCATATCTTTCTCTTAATCATTTATTTCACCATCAAAATAATTAATGCACTGTGTGTACATCAGCTACAGTTTATGGGCAGAGAATTCCACATTCCATCAACCCTTTTGGTAAAGAGTATTTGTCTAATTTTCCCTTAACTCTCTTTGCGATCTGTCTTAACATTGGGCTCTTTTTGCCAACCAGTGGAAATAATCTATTGCTACTTACCCTATTACAACCTTTTATAACGACCCTTCATGTCACCGTTTCTCAGCAACAGCGGGAAGTCGCAAGTACACAATACATGAGCTGTGGCCTTATAAAATTCACTGTTCGCACATTGCTTTGTAATTTATTCCTCTGAATATAAACCAAGAATTTAATTTCCCATTTTTTATTGCCTCAGTTAACTTTGTGGCCACTCTTCGTGACATATCTGCATAGCAAGATCCTCTGTTTGTCTACTCCATTTAAAACCTCACTATTTAACCTGTTTTTCCTGACCCTATACACTTTGCCAAAATGTACTTATCGTTCTCCAGTTTGAACTGGATTGCCACCTATTTGCCAGTTAATCGATCGATATCCTTCTCCAATTTCTCACGAACCTCATTGCAGGTTGCCGTGCCCTCCGATTTTGTATCAGCAAATTTCGATAAGATGTTTTAACATGCTGTCTGTGTTTCAGGCCAGCATACCTATTGTACTATTATGATACTCACTTGAAGGTGCAGCAGGACTTTCCTAACTTGCCACGGTCAGAGATAAACAAGAAGATCAGTGAAAGCTGGAGACGCCTCAGTGTTGCTGAAAAGAGTATTTACTTGGAGAAAGCAAAACTGGAAAAAGAAGGCATCGATCCTGTAAGACCTTTTAATTATAATTTATGTGGTTTTCCCCCCCTCCCCCCAAAAAAATCTTCTCAATGCTTCAAGATATTTGACAGGAGCCTTTCATTGAGAATCGTATCACAATGTGGCATTTCCTAGTGTGAAAATTTTGCCCTTACGGACTAAAATGTCCCAGATCCTTTTGTCAAACCTGTGCTTCAATTACTTCTCTAAGTCAGTGTCTCCCAGCTAAGATGCTTTCATTGGGAAAGATATCAAAATAGTTTTGCCATTTTCACCCCCCCACTGTTGCAACCAAATGAATGGATATGAAATAGACTTATTTTTAACTTAATGATATTTGATTTTTAACTTGGAACTATCCATTTTCAATATTACGAGCTAGACTAAATTGAAGCGATTAAACATTACTTGGCTCATCACCAGTAATGCTGTGTCACGTTGTGGTTATAAATGATTTCCAGGTAGGATTTTTCACATTATGCTTGGGTGGCGTATCATCGCAGGGAGCTTTGGATGTCAAGCTCTTGCACTTGACACTGTTGAGAGCCACTGTTGACAAAAAAAACAGAACCAAATGAACCCTCATTAAAATGAACAGTACACATTAAAGCAGACTGGAATGAGTTTAAGGCTATAATCTCATCTAAAGGGTTGAGATGACCGGGATAAATCACTTGGTTTGCTCTCGGAATTCAAGGTCATCAGAACCCAAGTAGATAACTGCCTTGTAATCAATCACTTCTTAAGTACGCCGGCGTTTATCTATTGGCCTTAAAAGTCTGCCATTGCCAGTAGTGCAGCTTCTAGCTTGGAGCACACCCTGAGCCTTTGCCCTTTTTTTAAAATTTACTGCGTACAGTATTTGGATTTGACCAATTTGTTGGATAAAGTTACATCCATTCAACTTGTATTTTCTCTCTCTCTCTCTCTTGCAGACTCATAAACTAATCAGTACGTCCACAAGCGCTCCCCCTACGGACATTCCAGGATTCCGTAAAATTCTTCCACGCTCCAGCTATATTATAATTCCTACTTCTAACCTATCTGGAGATGGAACTGGTCAGCATCTCACCTTATCTTCGACACCAAGGGGAAGTGACGGAAGCACCGTCTGCCACGCTCTTACACACGATGCCATGCAGACACTATTCACAGTTAGTGGCACCCTTACAGACTCCCGTCTTATTGGCACGACCGAGGAGAGTATTGCAATCGATGGAATTGCAGATGAAACCTCTGCTTTCATCCATTCGGAAACGATGCAGGAGATTGTTGCTTCGGAGATGCTGTCCCAATTTCCCAGTGCAGATAAGGGTTCTGGAGAACTTGCCACCGACGCGATGTCTTTGGAACTAACTCATTCCTATGAATCCCCTTGCGTTGTCATTGAAGGGACTTTGCTAAACGCAAGCGGAGACATCTCAGACCGTATAAGCAGTTGTACTAACCAACAGAGTGTAGAGACTAATCCCGTGTTAGCCGTTTTATCAAATCAAATGAGCAAAACAACAGGAAACCTCATCTCTCATAATGGTATAGGACAGGCTATTAGTTTCAATAGCACCCAGGTAGGAGTCTGTGAACTTGTGTTCAACATCTCCAAAGTATAGTATAATCAGGTTAATAACTGAGACAAAGATTATATTATCTTCTGCTGTTATGTTTTTTCCCTTTGCCCTAATTTCCCCCGCCCACACTCCTGTTCGCTTTCCTCTCTGCTCCTGTGGGAACACAAAGTGCTATTGCCAGGCTCGTCATGACTGAACTAATTGGGCAATTCTTATGGATCCTCTCGCTTGTAACGCATGTGGCACACGCAGAGCACCGGATCATTGTTTAATTCTGGTAGACAGTCGGTCCTTCAAAATATTTGAACGTTTTACCTGTGACGAGAACACAGGCTTTAAAAATAGCCATTATTTCACTACATGGGATTATTTGTGGTCAGCTAATCCGTAGCCCAATCTCGTTTCCTTTTGAATTTGAAGCAGCTGAACGCTGTGGGTTGCTATATACTGTGTTGCAGTCACTTGTATGCCTTTCTCAGTGTAGTGAATGGCTTTTCTTCATTAGGAATCGCGTGAAAATGGTGCAACATCTACCCCCCAGTTCTTAATGTTGCCACTGGCTAATGAGCAATCTCCTGCAACTCCAGCGAAAAAGGTTAGTAAAAGTCCGACCGACAAGAGCATCACCAACAACAAAGTTACATTTGTATAGCGCCTTTCACGTTGGGAGGATGTCGCAAGGCACTGGACAGACAGTGTTTCGGACACAAGCTAGGGGTCGGGATCGTGGAGGGCAGAGGGGGAAGGAGGGTGATCGAAGGCATGGTCGAAGAGGAGGGTCTTGAGATGGGTTTCAAGCATGAGTGAAAGCTAAGGTCAGCTAACCGCAATTAGTCCAGACTCGGAACACAAGAAAATGTAGGGATAAAATAGGCCACTCGGCATATCTTCAAGCTCTCTTTCCAGGACAATCTGACCCCTTTTCAACTTTAAACTACCCCCAAACTCTTTCTAAATGATGCCGAATCTAAACCGTGTTCAATTCCCTTTGACTACTTCAGTTGAGCCTGTGAATCCATCAGTTAAGGTACAAATGTACAAATGTATAAGCATAAATTTAGCTGCTCTTCACAGAGATGCTTTTTAAATTCACAGTATGCAATCTTGGACATCTAATTAAGATTTGGCACAAGATGTCTCCTCGGTATTGATTTCCCTTATTATTTTAATATTCTAGATTTTTATTCTCCCTCCCTGCCCAGAGAGAATAGGTTTAAATCCTACTTCCATTCCCAAGATTATTCATAAATATTGTCAACGGCAAATGACACAGTTCTATAAATAGCAGAAGAAGCAGGATTCCTATCAGCCAGTGAAATAAATCCCAGTCATATCTAACCAAACAATTTCATGGTTCACAAGCAAGAATTGCATATCTGCCACTCATTATTTATCCACACACTCAACGACATTTGAACACTGAGAAAAGCATTGCATCGGGGGGGGTCAACTATTTAAATTTACCAGTTCAACTTTTTAAAGATTTACCTTCCTACTTTTTCTAGGTTTCTTTTTGGTCAATTTGATCGGCATTAATTTAACTTAACTTGTAAATTTGAATGCCAATGATTATTTGTTATTTGTTGATTTACTTATTGATAATGAAAATAATACTTTACCAGACGTGAAACTTGTCGAGAGAGAGTTCTTACAGTACTTTTTATATTCCTCCCATCCCCCTATATTGTCATGTTGAGGTAATCCATGACTGTTAGTGGCATACTGCTGTGCGCAATTGGCTGCCGGGTTTCGCCCACAAATATACGGTCAATTCACTTTACAATCTATTCTATGAAGCACTTTGAGACATCGAGAAGACGTGAAAAGCGCTATATCAAATGCAAGGATTATTATTATTATTTATTATTATTATTGTGGGATATTAAGCGCTCCGGGATGCTACACTGGGTGAAGGACCCTATGTAAATGCGAGTTGCTGTTGTTGTATTGTGTTTTGGTCAGTATCGCTTGGTTTGATAGCATGACTCTGTGCGGCCACACTCTGGCACGGGATACAGTGTTTGTATCCCGTCTTTTGATTTCTGATATTTTCTCTGAAATATTTGCATCCTCTTCGAATGCAGTTGATCTGCTTTGCGGCGAATTAATATTGTGTTTAAAACCCTGTTCACTCCGCAGTCCATCTTTGCTCAGAAGACAACCTACACACGCAGAGGACGAGGTAGCTGCCCGAACCCAAAGTGTCAGTTTACTTACGTGACGAGACACAAACCCCCCCAGTGTCCAGCTTGTGGGAAGTGGCTGGGAGGCAAATGGATTCCAAAGGTAATTTGGTAAAGAAGTTGAGGTGTGGCCTCTCAGTTTACTGACATGATTAAGTATCGTCACCTCCATTGCAAGGGCATCGGGAGTAACTGAGAAATAAAAATGACTATAGTAAGAACATGAGCCTGAGCCCCCAGTCATGCTGGAATGCCAGGAAACTATTCATCAAGGTTCAAATCCAATCAAGTTGCGGAACGGAGAATAGCTGGGTTTTTACAGTCTGACCTTCAGCCTTCCTGCCCCCACCATCTGAAGCTCCATCCCACCGTTCGCCTCGCCCCTCACTTGCCTCTGTCAAGATCTTTCTTCTTTGACTGTGCCATCAGTCAACCTCTCATTCCCCCTTGCCCTCCACCCTTCTTAATTCCAGCTTGGATGCAAACCCTTCACCCTCCAGTTCTCCCGACAAGAAAGGCATTGTATAAATGCAATTTGTTGTTGTTGTTGTTGCATCTATCACTTATATTTTTAGTGCATTAAAATTTTCTGTGCATTTTTTTGGAATATTCTCTTTGAATGGTTGGTCTGCAAAGGCACAAGCGTGATTGGAAGGGCACCTTGTGAGGACAAGATTCACCCACACCGCCGTCTGTTCTGTAGTATTTTTTCCCTCCCTTTAAACACCCTTGTCATAAGAGAAGACGAAAGCCAGGCAGCTTGTTCAAGGTTCAGTGTCAGTGTAAGAAATCCCATCTGTCCTTGCACCGAATCTAACATTTCTTTTTGGCAATTTTACAACAGGGCAAGGAACTGCAAATGCTGAAAGTCCATGTGGAATGTAAACAGGAGAAACAACACAAGGTGGGTCCTAACGCTGACATCTGTGCGGTGGTCATGACCCTATTCCTGTTTCAAATCCTGGATTGCTGCAAACCTGCTGAGGCTCTTTATAGGAAACATCAATTTGTTGTTCTTGTAACTCTGGCGACTGAGTGCGTTTTTTTAAATTCAGTTTCCAGCATTGTGGTATGACTCTTTGGCAGCGCGTCAACAATGTTCCTGTATAAATCTCTTGACGATGAAAAGATATAAAGTTGAATCGGAGAACTTGGTGAACTGAATATGTTATTCATTCGCAGGATTTGTGACTAAAGGAACGAAAATGTTTTTACAATTCTAGCTGTTTGGAATCTTTCTATGTCTTTTCAAAAGATCTAATTAACAGAAAATCGTGATCACAATCAATAAGTAATCCGTTTCTTCTCCACACTTTAGTCTCATGGTGAGAGGTTGTAACTGTGCAGATGGATTTATTTGGCTTCACATAATGTAACTTACCAACTATTGGATACTTAGAGAGATAAGGTATGATATTTGGGAAGTGCTGACACATTTTATGAGCAAGTCAAGTCAGTCACCGCTGGAGAAGTTCCAGCAGACTGGAAGCAAACAAATGAACCGTAAACTTTTCTCTGGTTTAACTAGTTTAACTAGTCACTACTAGTCTTCATCTAGTCAATATCCCGGCCGGATTTATTTATGTATTTATACATATGCCTAACTCAAAATGCACAGTTACTTTACAGTAAAATCATCTGGAGTGCTTTGAGACCCAGTGACACGGCACTATATCAAAGTGCAGTTATTATAGTTTGTGTATTGAGTTCTCATTGTTGATTCCTTCTTTCAATGAACAGGGAACAGATGAAACTGTAAGCACAAAGGAGACCGTTCAGTCCAGTTTGGAAAGCTCACAGGCTGTATCCCAGCTTCTGAATGTAGCTTCAGAAGATCAGAAGGAACAAAAATCATTACAGACCAGCTGGCAACGAACATTGAGTGTTAAGGCCAGTGAACCTGCTGCAGTGGGTGAGACTGAGAAACGGACACAACCAATTCAGCTGAGTAATACAGCACATACTGGGGAATGTGAGGAGGACGAACAGCCTGGAGATGCCACAAAGGAGCAAGAAAACCAGAAAACGCCAGGAGCCAGTTGTGTCCGTAACGCCAATGGAGTTAAGATCACAAGACTGGCACCAAGGTCAGTCTTTTGTCAAGTAAAGACCTGTTTACCTAGCGGTAATTCGGAACCCAGGCTTTATTCGATTAGTGGAGTGCTTTCCGGGGGTAATAATCCCTTCCAAAAAAATAAAAGATAAAAAATATAACGTAAGTCACTTAATCTACGACTGTTTGTGGAACACTGCTGTGCTGTGTGCAATTGGCTGCCGCATTTCGCTCACAAAACATACAGTCAATTCACTTTACAGTATATTCTGCGAAGTACTTTGAGTCGTCTCAACAAAGTCATAAGGATTATTAGAACATAGAGATTTAGGTAACAAGTACTGTGAAGAAATGATGGCTCATTTTGCATCAACTCTATAATATAATAGTCCTTGTATTTGATATAGAGCCTTATCACGTCATTGAGACGTCTCAAAGTTTTTCACAGAATAGATTGTAAAGTGAATTGACTGTATATTTTGTAGGCGATATCTCTCTTCAGCAAATCACTTCAGAACTCTGAAGATTAATTTTGCTACCACCTCCCTCCCCTACCCTCCACACCCCATAATTTACAGTGCTGCTGAAATATAGGTTGCTAACCAGCATGGGATAGATGTTAGGGCGGTGTTTTTCAGAAATGAAAGTGAATCAGCTGATCCAAAATGTTTGCTGGAGCACTATGTTTAAGAACGCCACGTTTTCACTGAGTATTTTGTGGTGTTCACCGCTGCAGTTCGTCTAAGCAAAGTTTGCCAGGGCGAGGAAGAAATAAAGCCAGAGTGCGAGCGAAAGCATTCATATCGACCGGCACTGCCCGCTCACGTCCACGAGTTATTCTGCCTGCAGCTCCGTCTAATACAGGTACGCTCTGCTCTCTTTAAGTACTCGGTCAATCTTAACTTGCCTGTAGTTGTCTCAAGTATTTCTCTCAACTCTTGTGCCTCTCAAAGGATGAATGCTATTGTGGGGCAGGGGAATAAGGCAGGAAATCTCACAAACTAAAACCAAACAGATCCCCTTTAATGCCATGTACTTCCTAAAGGAATTTGCATTGAGTTTCTAACCTGGTTATCTATTGTCTTGTCCCCTTATATATATATATATATATATATATTTATAGTGCCGCAGTCTGAAGTCGCCTATATTCAAGTGGTCACTGTGCCTGTCAATCAAGCAGATACAACGGACTCCCCAATGGCTTCAGCCAGCAACGGAGTTCCAGGTACGAACTATTTTAAAGTTGGTGTAAAGTTTCCAGCAATAAAAGATAATTATATTTGCTGTAACGAATCGTTCAGGAGTGCTCTGGTGAACGAGTCAACTAGCCAACGTTGTGGTGTGCCTGAATTAGTTCTATACACAGGCCTCAGATGGCATCTATCTAATGAGTGACCCGACTAAGTGGAGGAAGAGTCTTACAGAGTTATAGTTGTGAAAATGTGCTAAAAAATCACCATTCTTTTTTAGCCAGAAGTTCCACTGCAAGGAGCATGATGAGCTCCCCTCCCCCGACAGGCCTGAAACCCAGCACCTTAAAGCAATTAGGGCATTCGGTTTTACGGGTGAGCCATACAAATGGGGAAGAGCAGGCGAGTATTCTACATTATGGCAAAACGGATCATGTAAATCGGTCACTGTGTGGACAGTGGGGGACGGAGGGGAGAAATCTTATCTACAAATTCGACAAAAGTTGTACAGTTTAAAACAAACTTACAGGCACTTTAGATACTGTAACTTGGTTTAAAAGTGGCACTGTTTATCAGTAATACTGACTGTCGAAACTAGGATTGGGCGACATTTAGCCATACAGACTGCTTCGCAGTGAGTAGGAATTCAGTTTTAGTTGATTGTTGAATCGCTTTCTGGGGGTAACAATCCCTCCAAAATTTTGTTTTAAAAATAATGATAATAATTTGGTCACTCAATCTGTGACTGTTTGTGGGGACGTTGCTGTGCACAATTGGCTGCTGCGTTTCTCCCACAAAATATACAGTCAATCTGCTTCACAGTATATTCTGTGAAGCACTTTGAAACGCCTCGAAGACGTGATATGGCGCCATATCAAATGCAAGGATTATTATTATTATTATTTCACACACACAAATAAAAGCTAGCAATTGCTCTGGCAGAATCAGAAATGACTGAAACATCAGTTGCCACTAAGGATCCAGCCCTCCGCTGGGCACCCACCTTTCATTACCACGCTGCTAGTCGCACTTTGGGACGTTCTGACGTGAAGGGCACTGTACAAAATCGTAATTTGTCGCTTGTTGTTGCTAGAAGTTGTGTTTTGTTTTGCTTCTAGACTGAACTAGCACCTGCCCTAGACAAAGGAGCATCTCAGCCTAGTGCAGTCTCCATCAGGAGCATCTGCCTGACTCCACCAAAAAACAACAAAGGGAGCACTTTTGTAAGTACAGCTACACACCGGCTGTAAAACGTGATTGTAGTTTCAGCAGAAATATCCTATTTGTGTACGTTGCTTCCTTTTTTCAGCTCCCATTCGTTCTTCCACAAACGTAAGCCGAGTTTGAAATGGAGCGTATTTTTGCACGCGATACGTTTTGGGGGACAATTATGCTCATTGTTTTTAGGAGGATGGATTTTCTTAAGTTCTTTTCTCTCCTCCTCCTTGCTTGGGTCTCCTGGGCTACAGGGCATTTGTACCACTTCTTATCAGTGGTATGGCACGTTTCTCACTTTTAACTTGCATCTCAAAATATTTGACTTTAGAATATATTCTGTGAAGCGCTTTGGGACGTCTCAACGGCATGATAAGGCAATGATATATCAAAATATATATCAGAATGATACATCAAATGCTATGATTATTATTATTATTATCTCCTTTGTAGAAATTCTAGTAGTATTCCATAACTGTTAAGACTTCCATAGTTGAACATGTGGTTCAGATGCAGGATGACTGTTTTGTTGATGAATATTCTCTTATTTTATTATTCTTAAGGATCTGGGTTTGGCAACCTGCAGAGGTAAAGGAAGGTGTAAAAATCCAAGGTGTACGTATGTTTACATGAATCGATATAAACCAGGAATTTGTCCGAAATGCGGCTATGACTTTGCAAGAGACAAACACGATATAAAGCCATCAAAGCCCGTTGTAAGTACTACTTGTAGGATATGTCGAACAGTGCTCTTAACAGCAGGTACCAGCTTGCTTGAAGAATGCATTTGCAAGCATATTATGGAGAGTGTTCTTAAAATATTCTAAAAATCTCTTCGACGCGATGCTCCGCAGGAGAGAGGGAGGATAGGTGACTTGGTCTTCGGCACTGCTGGCCACCTCTGTTTAAATTTCCCCTCTGTTCTGTGGCGATGTCCTGCATCTTCATCTCTCCCAAAATGTGATTGTTCCTTTTAAGAACATGTCATTGAAAGGTCCCGTATATCTGCAAATTGTTGTTGTTGCAAGCTGTCGAGTGCTTGGTGCTCTGGGGCGCTAACCTGCATGAGGGGCGCTCTCTAGATGCGGTTTGTTGTTGGTTTTTTGGTGGCCAGTTGCTGTGAAAATCTTCTTGAGCGTCGTAATCTGGAAGCAAATTACACAAGAGGCTGATTACCGAGAAAACCATTTATTTTAATTTCAGATAAACGATGCACTTTCCTCGGGTGCGGTGAACCCAGATGAACCATTAACTCAGGCCCAAAAGGACTTACAACGTCAGACCACACTGCTGCTGCTCAGGAGGACTGTTCAGATCCCCGAGAACGAGGCTGAACTTCATGAAATTTTCAGTCTAATTCAGGAACTTAACAGCTCACAGCTGATTTTGTCCACAGTCAACGAGACGATAACTCTCGAACAGAATTCCTGGCCTAATTACTTCGAGTCTACAGCCACCGTGTGTGGCCTGTGTGACAACCCTTTGTTCAAAGATGAATGCAAGTAAGTTGCATCAACTTAACTTGTTGACTACTCCCATTTTTACACCTGATTTTAACGCTGTGTATCAAGTTGCGCGGCTTTACTTCTTATGTTGTGGGAAGGAAGGATCCATCGAAATGTTTCTAACAACATAGCAACTGGGTAGCTGTTGTAAAAGAAAAAAATGACTCAACTTTAAACGTGAAACAATAAGGAAGGGGGGAAAATCAAAAAAATGAGCTGTGAAAATCTGAGCGGTTTGGGCTGAAACTCTGGGGTTTATCACTTAACGCGGTAAAATGTCGGCACTGGAATTTGGCCTGAATTACTGATGTACTGATTTTTACCCCAGTTCAGTTTTTGCCCCCGAGGAGTGCTGGTTGTTGACCGAAAGCCAGTTTCAGGTAGTTTTAGTTCAGACGAAAATGTGTCTGAATCCTCAGTGTCTCGCACTTCATAACTTCACTGACATAAACTCAGGTAAGAGATATAACCCTTCATTACACTATTATAATCTTGCATTACCGGTTGGTTACTTTTCTGGATTTGGGTCAAATACCGAACTTGTTTAGTTATGCACACCACCGCTCAACCCAGGTTACTTTATGTTTAATGCATTTTGTTCTAAGATTATCATTACATATTCCTAAATAATTCTAATTTTAAAAAAAATATTCTGATGCTACCAATTTATCGCCCGTAAAATACACAGTCAATTCGCTTCATAGTATATTCTGTGAAGCCCTTTGAGACGTCTCAGAAGACGTGATAAGGCGCTACATCAAATGCAAGTATTATTATAATTATTATGACTGATATTTTAAAGATGTTCTTATTATTCATTTGCCATCTCAGGTTTATTTAATATTGGCAACAAGCTTTTGGTCAGCATGGACTTGCTATTCAAAATAAGAAGTCATATCAAGCTTGGAGAAGATCCAAGGGATGTAACCAGCGCCATATTAGAGTCTGTCCAAAAAATCACAGGTAGATTTAATGTTTTTTGTGCAGCTTGCCTCAACTAGTCTTCGTCGTGGCGTTCAAAGGCGGCTCCCAATAAATTGTGACCAGGTGGTAGGACTTGACTTTGTCTCTTCAACATGGTTTACTGTTGCGATGTTCGAGGGACACTGCCTTGCTTCTGCCACTAGAGACCCCTTGTAAGCTACATAAATTATCCTGTGGCAGTAATTTGATACTGTGGAATTTCAATTTTATTCCGCAAGTCCTTGGGCTATATGCCGTCGCTGTGTGGTTTTTTTTGCAGTTCGTGATCATGACTCTTTGGGATGCTTTGCTTTTTGTTGTGCGATCTTTTTACACGCCTGAGCTTCGGAACTGGATAGTATAATGGAAGGGCTCGGAACCTGAAAGTCCTGTGAACGGGTGAAAAGCATTGCGCTGTCAAAAGCGATGTGGACGGGAGCAAGAATCAGATTCTGATGGATTGGAGTAACTAATGTTGGCGAGGAATAAAAACGTGTCGCCAGAAATGTTGTAGCTTCGAGACCTCTCGAGTGAATTGAATTTGTGTGCAAAGGGCTGGGGTGAATAAGTTGGGAGAGCTGCACCCGTCTTCGGAAATGACAATCTGAAAAGTATTTAGAATCCCGGCTAGGATTTGGAGTCCTGTAGCTCAGTGGTTGGAGCACTCGCTTTGCGAGCGAGAGACCTGAGTTCAATTCCAGGCAGAGGGCGAAACCTTGGGCAAGTTTCCTTACTCCACACAGAGCCTAATAATAATCCTCCAAAACCAAAAACAATAACAAATTGGTCATTTTCAATCTACGACTGTTTGTGGGACATTGCTGTGCGCAATTGGCTGCCGCATTCGCCCACAAATATACAGTCAATTCACTTTACAGTGTGTTCTGTGAAGCGCTTTGGGACGTCCTCCCGACGTGAAAAGCGCTATATCAAATGCAAGGATTATTATTATTATAGGATGAGCATTTATAATGTGGCTCCAAACATGTTTATGAAGCGAGAGATCCAAATTTTCTGCAACAGCAATCTAGCTTGTCAGAGTTATTTTTATTTCAGCTCTTAAAGGGGCACGGAAGTTGGGCGGGTATGGGATACTTTCTGCTCAACCAAGACATTTTATCCGGCTTAGGGTTAGCACTGGTATGAAACTATGCCAGCAGCTTTTATGACCGTGTTCTTCCAGCTTCAAAGCGATAGGTAACCTGGAAACACTTATTTTAGTTAATGTGTGGGTGGGAAAGGCAATCAAGGGCCCATTTCGGACTGGCTTTGGGGAGATGGAACAGATAATACAGATAAAGGACAGGAGTGAGCCAAGAGATCAACTTCTCAGAAGGTTCTACGAAAGGAGTTCAGGCAGAATGACCGTTGATGTATGTGCCCGTGTGCGTGTTCTATTTTTATTATTTCCCTCGTTCCTTGTGCACAAGCACTTGGCTCCCCTGACGGCACAGCTGAGGTTAGGAATTCAGTTTATAGGTCTAAACCATGCCAGACAACAACTTGCATTGCCATAACCCAGGAACATCTCAAACATATGTTCAATGTGGGATTCCAATGAACTCTTGTCATTCCTGATTCACTTCTAGAAACCTTGAGAGATTTTAGCATTAAAATGACATTGTATTGACCCCTAGTTTGACAGTTTTATTCCATTTTAGATTAATCCTGGTGGATGGTGCTCCTGTACTGTAGACAATCTGGAATGATCTTGATGATTCCCCTCCCACCCACCCCACCTCTGTTTATGTATTTCTGTCCACAAGAATTTTTAAATTTTTTAAAAAGAAAAAACAATGATTTGATTTTTCAATTCCTCGATTTGTTTTTCTTTCCACCTGAGATTTAATCTCTTAATCACATTAGAATTAACGCTGGTTTGAAGTTACAGAACAGGAATTCAGAGTGTTGAAATGCTTTCATACATGACCTAACAGAGGTAGCAGGACGTGAGCTTGCATGTCTACTGTGAAGGTTTGAATATTATGTCCCCATCACGTTTTAATGGTAACTGTATTACTGAAATCAATCCTTATTAGACCACTGAATTTAATCCTTTCACTGGGTTACAACATTTTAGTGTGTCTGATAAATGGACAGTTTTATCACTAAAAGGTTATGAATGAGTAGATGCTGAGTTGGACTTGTTCACCAGTTTATAGTTTCAGTTGTGAAAAAACAGTCCAAGTCTTGTTGCCTTGATGACCTGCCCAAGTGATGCATTCATCTTATTTTACCCCTAAGCTATCACAGGATTTTATGTAACATTTATCTTTTGGGGGGGAGAAAAATGCCCTTTATTTAATTTTTTTTTGAGAAACGTTAACTGAGAGAATGTCATTTTTAACGGTGAATTGAAGAAAATGTGATCCTATGTCTCTACCACATTACAGCGTCCCAAGGTAAGCGCTCCGGGACTTTACCCTATGTGAAGGGCGTTATAAAAATGCAAGTTGTTGTCGATGCCTTGCTGGGAATTGGCACGTTAGAATCCGAAGTTCTGGGAGAACTCGTGAGATCGGAAGCGGAATGTGAAGCGTTGAGGATGCAGTTTCACACGCGGAACAATTTATTTTCCAGAGAAAACGATGTCGGAGGAGCAGCTGAACCAGCTTCAGGAGCTGCTGTGCAACGGGTATTGGGCGTTCGAATGTCTCACCATCCGTGACTACAATGATATGATTTGTGGGATCTGCGGCGTAGTGCCCAAGCTGGAGATAGCGCAGAGCAACCCTGCAAATGTTCTTGCACTGAAAAACGTTGAGGTGCGTTTGACCCGCCAAGATCATTCTGAATCTTAAATTGTGTGGAAATAACGTGAGGGGAATAATCCTAAATCATTCTCTTTATACCCTATAAACCGAGCTATTGATGTGCTTGGGTGGACCCTATTTTGCTTGAAGGGAGTTAGTGGCTTAGCAATTATTGTTGAAGCATGACAGTGTAAATCCATTCGAGAGATGATTGGATGCATTCCCGGAGAGAGAAGAGACTGAGGGCTAAAGTGGGCACACAGGTGTGACAAATCAAAATGGGGGGGGGGAGAGAAGGTTGACTTCATGGGACGAATGGGGTTTTCCTGTTCTTAGAAGGTAATATATTATCTTTATTTCTCTTTTCTCTATTGGGGAGAGGGAAAGAGGGGAGATGTGGGTGACAGAGGAGAGGAGTGGAATGGCAGGCAAACCTTAAATCATCTCTACACTTTCCCCAAATAATGAAAGTCAATCTGTGTGCTATCTATGATCCAGCCTTGACATGCTTCCTTTCCACTTGATGATCTGCTGTTTCCTAACCGGGTCTATTACACTCCCCAGTTTACATGGCCAGATTTCCTCACCTCCGACGAAGTGAACGCTGAGGATTTCTGGTCCACGATGGAGAACGAAGCCATAGAGCAAGCTGCGTTTCCATCCAGCATTCCTATCACAAAATTCGATGCTTCCATAATTGCTCCATTCATCCCACCACTCTTGAGAGGATCGGTGGTGGTTAACAGCGAGAAGGATAAAAACCCGCATCCGCAGAGGGCTGCTGGTGAGAGACTGCGACTTTACTGTAATTAATCCATTTCTCCATTAATCATTATCACCTTTAAGCTTCCCACAATAGACGGGGAGTAAAGTGCTCTCACACACTGTGTATCTGTGGATCCGGAATCTGGAGATCAACAGGGAAAAAAATTATACAACAGCTTTGTTATGAGCAGCCCCTTATATATCACTGGTTTGCTTAAAATGGCTTGGATGCACAAAATGGCCAGTCCTAAAAGTTGGCCATCTTCTAGGTCAAGTCCATGTCACTTTCTGCGCTCTGCACATGCTCACTGTGCACAGTGCAGGAAGCGATATTGATGGCAAACTGATGTCCCACAAGTTGGCCATTCTTTGACGAGCAGGAAAATGCCACCACCATTCAAGTGATCGGTCACATTACGATGCAGAAACAGTAACACCCATTAAAAAGCAGTTGGGATTTTTAAGGACCCACCCCAGCTACCTCCTTTATTATAATAATAATAATCCTTGCATTTGATGTAGCGCACCATCACACCGTCGCGACGTCAAAGTGCTTCACAGAATATACTGTAAAGTGAATAGACTGTGTATTTTGTGGGCGAAACGTGGATTGAGTCACCAAATTAGTATTTATATACTGGGTTCTACTGTACTGTATATATCCATTCACAAAAGGGATTTGTATCCTGACCTTTTTAGTTTTATAAAATTCGCAGCAGTTTGTGAGAGTTCTCCTGAGTGTGGATATTTCACCTCAACGTAACTAACCTTGGAACATCCGAACTTTTAACAGGAAATCCAAGGACACTGGTGAGGCTGCTGCATGACGGGGTTTTCAAAGCTGAGCAACTGGACTCCTACAGCGAAGAAGAGCTAACTAATCTGCTCATTTCGTGTGACATTCCAATTCATCCCGGCGACACCAAGGTAACTAGTCTGTGTCCGGACAGAACGTAGGAATGAGAAAAAACAGTTTGGCTCTTTCAGAATCCGGCGTGACCGTTTTTGTGCCCCAGACGCATCGCGCCCGTCCGGGGTGAGTTGGGAATCTGTGCAAATACATTTTGAAGTTTCAACTGAGACCAGACTTCAGTCCCATGTTATGGAAATACTGGAGCAAGTCGGCTTCCTAACTGGCTGATTTGTTGCAGTAAAGAACATGCTACGTTTTGTACTCTAACCCAAATCCTGCAAAAGACTGAGTGGTGTTCATACTTCTATCCCTAGCATTTTTAGTAATTGTCGGAAGGGATATTTCAGTTAGAACAATAGTACAATTAATGCAATAAATAACCAAACATTCTGCATAATTATAAAATGCACCAAAAAAAATGTACATTTATAAATTCGCTCTCCCATTGTTTTTTAAACTGGGAGTATCCTAAGGTATTTGTTCACAACGTTGTCAAGGGTTGCTTTTTTTTCCCCGCGTAAAGATCCTGGTTTAGAAACCAGGAGTTTACTAACGCAAGACCTTCCTGTGCTGACTGCCGCTGTGTGTACAGAAACAAAATAAAGGAAGGTCACAGAAGAATGGATCAAGGCAGCTGGAAACCAGGAGACAGACTGCAAGTTCGGAACGCTCCAGCAGTGCAATCGCTCAGAGCTCTGGAGAAATGTAACGCACGTCAAAGAAATATAAGCTACAGGCGTGACAGGAATAGTGTGTTCACACCTGTGAGGCAGGCAGGTTGTGATTTTGTTGCTTGGGAGGTGATCCCAGTAATAAATGCTCTCTCCCTGGCATTGCTTATAAGTAACTCAGATATAATGTATGAATTTTTGGCTGTGTAAATATTATTATCCGAAAAAGAATTTTGGACTAAATCCCATTTCTCTTTCACAGAGAGTTTTGTTACCTGCAAATGGGAAAAAAATATGCTTTTGGTTTATCGGGCAGCAATAAAATAGAGTGTTTAGTGAAATGAATTATATTATTAACTTTCATTTCCAGATTACTAGCTTGGCTTACTTGGTAGCATTCTTGCCTGTCACCCAGAAGGTATGTGGGTTCAAGCTACCCGTCAGGAATTTGATCCTGTCATCAAGGGCAAATATTGTATTGCAATGCAGTAGAATGTCATCATTCGCCATGAGGTGTTAAACTAAGTACCCTTGTGGCTGGTCAGGTAGAGAAGTTTAGAAAGGTTTCAGAAAACTTTTTAGGACGCAGAGAGATTTAAGATTGCAGCCTGTTTAAGATTATTATTTCATGTTCAGAACTATAGAAGGCTGCTCACGATGAACCACAATTTTCAAGAATGCCAAAATCTTGTGTGTGTATATATATGTATATAGATACAATGGCTTCCCCCCAATGCAGAGATAAACAGCTATCAAATGATTTTCATGTTTAGACCTCTTTGACTTTGGCTCTCAAGCAGTTTAAATGATTCTTTCTGATGATTTCGGAGAATTAAGATGGGTTGTTGTCTGATTGGTTCTGTTCCAGTGCACTGAACCCGAATTTTCTGCCTTGAAACCCAGCCAGCACTTTAACATCTGCCCAGCAGCGACTGCCAAAACACTCAGAAATTGTTAATTTTGACATTGAACCGTCTGGAAAGAGGTCCATTGTACACATTCCATCGGTGAAAAAGCAATGATAATACCAGAAACTTTGTCTCTGTCCAAAAAATCTAAATGTGGATGCGTACAGTATGTATTCATTTATGTTCACAGTGGTGTTAAATTTGAGAGATTCTGCAATATCAGAATTCGTTGGTACAACGAATTGATACTTAAGGCGCCAAACAGATATTAGCAAGACCAAGCTTGTTGGCGAGACAAGAGTGTTAAGTGATCGTAGAACACAAATGCCAATAATAAATGTATTATGTCAATTCAGATCCTTCTCGATAGAATTATGTTGCAATGAGATCTGCATCAGTGTCTCTATTCTTAATTTTTCTTCATTTTCAGTTACTGTTACATTATTTGTATTCTACCATTTACTGACGATATTATCAGTTACAGCTTCATTTTCTATTGCTTACTTGGCTCTGTAACTAACTGTCTCTTTCTCCTTCTTGGGCGATCTCTCTCTCTCTCTCTCTCTCTCTCGCACACAGTTGTATATGCAAACTTGGATCTTCTTCCAGCTGTGGTTACAATCACCAAAACACTTCTTGATTTCAGCGCATGTCAATCTGAAGTCTTAAAAAGGCATATGCAGTTTGGTTTGCTTCTTAAAATGGTCTCCTTGAGTATATTTAGTCTCGACGCCAAAGTAAACAGCTGACAATCAGATCAGCTTTTCTTTTTACAAACAACACACCCTCCTCAAAATCCTGCCCTAACATAACCTTGGACATCATTCAATGAATGTTAGATTCCTTCTGGTACCTTGTGCAAGGGATGTGTGAGCCTACATCTGAGTATCTGCAGGATGTTTGGCTGAGGAGCATTACAGATTAGCCCAAATTTCTTCTCACACACACACACACACGCAAACTTTGAAGCAAGGCTCACTGGATAGTGATGGAAGATGTGTTTCTTTTGGTTCCCTATCCCAGGATCACTGAAGTCAATTGTAGTGCCCTAATTTGCAACCTTAAAGAGATCAGCTGCTTAGCTTTTTGTCACATTTGCCTGTTGCCGTGTTTTGCAGGAACACTTGCATTCTTCGTTACTTGCCTTGTATTCCTCTGTGCTGGAGGGATCGCCTTTGGAATGCAGAACGCCTTTGTGTGATGTGACTGGGGGAAAAGTCTATAAATCCTGCCTGCATCAAGTAAGTTCTGATTTTGAAAGCGAATAATCCTGTTTTTATTATTAAGTGGTCATAAGGAATATCTAGATTGTTTAGTTTAACAGGTGTATGCTGCAGATGACCTTGATGTTAGTCATCTGCTTGATTCATTCCGTGAAAACTAACTGATCAGAACTTGAGCCTTCTAAAAGTTTACATTTCTGTGAATTGGAGACCAACATCTTTGGCCTCTTGTTTGCTATGTTTTGCAGAGCAGAGGAATTTAGCTGGAGAGAATTTCCAAATCTATGTTGTCTGTGTAATTTAATTGCTGCAGAACATTTCACTGATTCCCACAGTGCCTATCTGATTACCCAATGCCTTAGCTCATTTTTTCCACCATCCACTTGTCTATTTATTTCCTAAACGCTGAACAGCTAATTAATCCCTGATTCTGAGCTAATGACCATCAGTCAACAGACTACATCAAAGCAAAAGGCCCAGACTTTTCTACCCACTTAATACCAGATTTCCACGAAGGTTATCTTAATGTGATGACGAGCAGAGATAGAACAGTAGTTCTTCACAGGGAGGAAAAATGGACAGTGCCCTCTGTTGAAGAATGCCATGATTAAAAAGAAAGGGCATAAATTAATTATAATTGATTAGAAACCTTCTCTGTATTTTGTACAGTTGAGCTTTCAAGGAACCTGTTCACAAAAACCTCGCCATTTAAGAGTTTTTAACTGTCAGTTTAAGTGGGAGCTCCGACGTAGCAGGAAGAATAATTGCCTCGATACAAGCCGTTGATTTACAGTTTTGTTTCAGTGCATACAGCACAGTACGTAAGCTCTCTGGAACACGACCCTGCGTGAGGGGTGCTGCATAAACGCAAGTTGGTTCAAAATGTGTACACGAATAAAATTCCTTTTTTTTTGCTGTTTTGTACCCAGGTTCTGTGTGGCTCAAAGTACCTTGTGAGAGGAGAATCCGCCCGTGACCACATTGACCTTCTGGTATCCTCGCGTCACTGGCCTCCCATCTACGTGGTGGAGATGGCACCACAGGTGCATTAAACGCCGATGTGCGTTACCCGGAACTCACCAGACAAATGTGGGAGCACAAACAAGGCTGCTTCTCGGACCCGCTGGAGCCACCAAAGGTTAGATCAATCGGTGGTGGCCAACCTTTTTTGGTCGACCTTTTCTTGATCGATGGCCACACCATAAACATCTCCCCTCACTCAGTAGCTACTGGTAACAAAACACTGATTGAAAACAGACTCGCCCAGACTGGCGCAAATATTCGGTGGGCCACTCCTCGATGGCACTCGCGGGCCGTGGGTTGGTCACCAGTGGGTTAGACAGTGTTAATAATAGACTGACTTAATAATATTAGTCTTTGCATTTGATAGAGCGCTGTACCACATCTTCGAGGCGTCTCAAAGTGCTTCACAATACTAGACTGTATATGTTGTGGGCAAAGCGCGGCAGCCAATTGCGCACAGCAGCGTCCCCACAAACAGCCGTGATTTGAAGTGACCGATTTATTATTTATTTATTTTTAAAAATTGATGGAATTATTAACCCCCCGGAAAAGTGATCTTCCAATCGACTAACAACCAGGTTCCTACTTACTGCTAGGCAAACACTGCCAGTATGGAGTAAGGAAACTTGCCCAACAATAGACTTGAAAGATGACGTGCTTTACTCCACGCCTGGTGCTCTTGAGAAGTTGTTGTTGTGTTGCTCTTTATAGAAAGTAATAGGAAAACAACAACGACGACTTGCATTTATGCAGCGCCCCTCAAGCAGGGCAGGGTCCCAGAGCGCCCAGGTAATTGTAAGCAGCGTAAAGCGGGTTTAAAGCCATGCCTCTGTTTGCAGCTCGTTTCCTGCCCGGAGCTGCTGGAGCAGCATTACATAATGGACGCGTCTTTGCTGGAGAACAGCCTCCAACACCCCATCACCAAGTCCTCGGCCCGAAGAATCGTGCACCGCAGCACGGCCCAGGTCACAGAGAGGGACAGCATCGCGAGGCACCATTCCGCCACCCTCTGCAGCGAACTGGATTCGTACAGCGACGTCCTGGACGCCCTTCCCCACAGCAAGGTGAACTCTGTGCGGCAAAAGGCAATTCAGTTCGAAAACGCTACGTATTACTATTTATACAACCGGCTGGTGGATTTTCTCACCAGCAGAGACATCGTGAACCAACAAATCAACGAAGTGCTGCAGAGCTGCCAGCCTGGAGAAGTGATCATACGGGATAGTTTGTACAGACTGGGGATAGCGCACCTGAACACGGAGAGCGAGACCGAGGAGCTGGCGTAGCCCGCCGCTTCTCGTTCGCTCGGAGCAATTAAGGAAAATGATCTGTCAAGTAATGTATTTATTCACTACTTCTATTTAATTAAAAAAAAATTATTTGCGTCTTTTTTTTCCCCCGCTTCTCTTTTGTGCACCTTCTGTAGGGTGAAGAGCAGAGATGCACGGTTAGATTACGTTCAGGGCCCGGTTTAGAGCGCCGTGGAATCATTGGCGTCTGCGATTCTTTCACTTAAGCCCTCGGACTGAATTTTACTTGCAAACCCGAAGGCATTTTCCACTCGTTTCACATGAGTAAGGCTTGCTCATCGTGACCTCAGCAGGGATTGTTAACATAAAAACACCATCACCGAGTAAGCTGTGCCCTCGCACTTTCTCGCTAATGTTTCTGATCTGTCTGCAAACCCAAAGCGCGGGCGCGAACTGAAGTTGGGGAAGGAGGGAGCAAAGGCAGAGGGATTGAGGGAGAGGGTTTTGGGGCTGAAAGAGCAGCCGCCGATGGCGGAACGGAGGGCACGAGGGACAAGTAGGAGGCAGTCGAGTGGAGGCGATGGGTAATGGGTTGGGGAGTAAGCAGATCGGAGAGGTAGGAAAGTGCGAGGGCACGAGGAGATTTGAAGACGGAGCGTGAAATCGATCTGTTTGGCGATAGGGCACAGAGTTTCTGGGTGAGTGTGCGGAATGAGAAGCATTCAGGATTTTGTGTACCTCAAGGCAGTCCACTCGACATGTGGAACCAGAGAAATTTACAGCACAGAAGATGGCAGTTTGGCCGATTGTGTCTCTCCTGACTCTTTGAAAGATCAATTCAGTCACTTACCTGCTTTTCCCCTCCATCTGCCTGCAAATTATTCCTTTCAGTTATCTGGTGTCAAATAAAGGGCAGCGGTATTCGACAGTCGTGTTTAGTTAAAAAAATTGTCTCTGGCTGGAGATTTGTATCTGCAGAAGAATTTTCATCCGACTGAAACAACTAACGCAAATAAATAAAGATGGGCTTCTGGAAGACACTCCGCCAAAAGGAAAATCCTGAATATTTACCTTGTGAGGGAAGTAAAAACTTTTACAAGCTGTGCGCAGCCTGGAACAGAGCTTTATAATTAGGCTCTATCTCCTCTCCGTATAAGTGGCATAGATTCCCTTTTAAGGACCTTAACGGACATCATTCTGACGGTGCTCTGATAGAGACCTTGAACACTATCAGTCTCGGACGATCAATTAAAGTGGAATCTTTTGGAGAATTTAGTTAATATACAATGTGATTAAAGTCGCTGCTGATTTCCTTCCCGGGCTTGCACGCTTTGACCAAAAAAAAATGGACAATTCGGCACATACGTGTAGTACGTTCTTTCCGCTACCCCTTGTGTAAAGAGCGCTATATAAATGCAAGTTGTTGGTCTCCGTCTCGCGTCTGAACACACATGCCCGCGCGCACACGCACAAAGAAAAGTACAAGTATAGTTTTGTTTTCTTATGTTTTTATAAAAAAAAGTATTCCGTGATTAAAAATATTGCTCTAGTTACGGTTTTCTTTCAAAAATACAGCAATACATTGAGCCGGCAATAAATATACAGTTAATTTCTTTTATAAAGTAAATTTATGTTTAATACATCATTTCACAGCTTCTGCGTAGAAAATTATTCGTAACGTCATCATTTCAAGGACTGTTACTATGTACAAAGAGCTTGTTACCCTCGTCTTTCGAATGGTTAGTGGTGAGTGAATGTTACAGCCTTACCGTAATAGTTACTGTACGGTTGGACTGAGACGTTGAAAGGCATTAACTTAAGAGCGATGCCCTGCGTAAGGCAATACGTTTCACTATTACTCGGCAATTGATAATAGCGGGCTGGTAGTTTTCTCTGAATGAAATCGGTGGACGTCGTTAGTGGGGCAACAGTGGGTCACAAATGGTACTACCGTAGGTTCCTGTCTGTGCATAAACAGGTGAAAGAAAAATAATCCTTTAGTCTGAAATGAAACCACCTATTCGACAGTCAGTTTCAGTTCAAAGGTAAAAATAAGAGATGCAATGAGTGCAGTTTTCAGGCAGGGGTTCTACAGATAAAGTCGTTCTTGCCATCCAAGTTGGGTGTGAATAGGGTATAGCTCTGTAACTCAATTCTCTCTCAACTTTCCTCCCACCCAGAACAGCAGTCGATATACAGCGGAAACAGCCAGCAGTCTTTATGGTCGTGGCATCAACGTCAGTCGACTCGCCCCTTGCTCATCTGCCTGTATCCAACCAAGGCCACGCTGCTGCATTTGGGTAAATGAACACCTCACTTGGAACAGGTATGTGCTGTGGGTGCCATACAATCAGTGGTACCTTGCATCCTTCAAGATTTGTCTCAAGACCCTCCTCTTCGACCGCGCTTTCGGTCATCCTCCTACCCTTACCCTCCCCGCCCTCCAGCCCCTCCTGATCCCAACCACCAGCTCGGGTACAGATCCCTGCCTGTCCCAACGCCTTGGGACATCCTCCCGACGTGAAAGGCCCTATATACATGTGTAATTTGTTGCTGTTACTACCAAGGATAAGACTAGGCTTTTACTCCCGTTCTCTACCAAGCGCGTTGTGTAACGAGGGCTGAAAGGACTTGTGGTTCAATAAAGCTGACTCCACAGGGTGGGTGGTTTGAGCTGACATTAGTGGCATTTCGTTTTCACAATTGCAGTGGTTGCAAGGAATGAGCACATTCCTTTGCTCAGTACTCAGATGTGCCCTTTCCCACATTCCACGAGTTAAATAGCACGGCTTAAACTCTACCGTTAACCAACACACACGCAAAACACTGAAACTAAATTCCCCATATACTTTTTCCCTCTCGTCCCCTTTTTTTCTCTCAGCCGTTGAATCCCTCCTCGACTCTTTCCCCTTCCACGCGTCCTCGCTCTTTGCTTGAAAACGACTTCACTCCGAGGGCAGCGAGAATGCAAGATTTGCTGCCTGGAGCGATGGTTGAATCAGATAGTGTAGACACGTTTAAGAGGAAGCTAGTGAGACTCCAGCAATTACCCCAAACCACACTCTGGGGTCCCTAGACCTTGGCTCTCGTAAACACTGCTCCTAATACTTAGATGGATGTCCCTCCAGGGAGAGAGAGTGCATTACCATTCCAGCAATCTATCTCTGGGATTTCCGTGTGTAGGTGAGATGCCATGGAAATCTCAGCTGGGTTTGGATACTCTTAAGCAACGGTGACGGGTTTCCCCGGCTGACCTCCCCAAAAACAGGAAGCTTGATATGCACGCGAGAGAGAAGGGTAAGGGAGTAAGGAGTTGGTGGAGACTCTTTAAGTATAAACTTGGCACAGACTTACGCCAGATCTGGCCAAATGGCATGTTTCCGTGCGGTACGGTCTATATACTTTTTAGCCGATGCTCTACAAACCCGTTGACATCTCCATATGTTTGGGATTAGATGAAAGGCGAGGCGTATGTTCTAAGTTAACAGGCCTTCCGGTTCTGCGGGCAGGTCTCGTGCCAGTTAAGCCTTCTTTGCTAGAACCTGATTGTTATAACAATCAGTGGGATCAGCTCTGCTCCAGATCTGTACAGCGAGAGTACCCATTAGGAAACACCAGGACTCGTTCCTAATAACATAATTGGCCCTTGTCAATAACAGCATCTCTTTGTGTGAAGCGGAACCCACGCTAAGTTTTGGTGAGCGCTGTTACGTTTCTTTTATCAAAAGCCACTCGTTTGGATTGCAATTATGTTAAATCTTTCCGATCGAGCGCGAGATACACAGTCCGCACGCACTCGCACGCACGCACTCAACATGCACACAGACACGTGATTAAAAACAAGGCATGTGATGTGAGCAGCTGCAACACGAACATGTTACCTATCCCGCTGTGACCGTGACGTTGATGATCTCACTCGTGGCGTTTGTTTCGTAATTTGTTGTTGTTGTTGTTGTTTGTTTCATGTGTGTCATCGGGGTGGGGGGGTGGGGGGGGTTAACTTGCGAGAGGCGAACAAGTCACAGTCCACCTTCTGAGGGACGAACCCTCTTTTTTCCACGCGTGTTTTCCGCGGCCGAAGTAGCTACTAAATCGGATAAAACTCTTGACTGAGAGCGACAAAAAAAATACTCGAGGGCTGCCGACCGAAACGTTCGTTCCTTTCCTTCCACGTGACTGACGGAGATGCAGGAAAGAGGTTTGTGTGTCAGTCTTCAATTTGATATTGTTTCATGTATAATGGAAGACAGCTGCAGACATAATGGCTGAAGTAGAGACCCACTTGGCAGTGTTTGCTTTGGGTCCTGCAAGGCAATCTGTAGCATCTGTTCGTGGAGAGTAGGAAAGAGAGAGAGAGGGGGAGAGAGAATGAAGATGCGATCAATCACTTCCCGGAGATTTCGTTCATAGTTTATCTTTTAGTGCAAGAGCCGGAGAAGGATTTTTACGGCTCCTGGCCAATATAAATGTTATTGGAATACAATGTTTCGTCCCAAGTAAACTCCCAAACGATGTGCTAAATAAAACAAAACCTGTTCGGGATCTCACAGGAATTGGAATCCTTCGTTCTCGTTCCCCCAGCGTTGGGTCAAGATGACCATGTATGTGTCAGTGCCAGAATGACCTTGTGGCTCAAGCTATGACCCTGTGTATTGCCTTTAGAACCGAAGACCTGGTATCATTGCCATTGATTAATTGATCTTCATTTACTGGCCACAGGTTAGCCCGACCTATTCGGTGTGCGACTGACTTCTCCCTCCTTCAAGACCCTTCTCAAGACCCTCCTCTTCGACCACGCCTTCGGTCACCCTCCTACCCTCTACCCTCCCCTCCCTCCAAACCCTCCTGATCCCATCCACCAGCTCGGGTGCAGATCCCTGACTGCCCAGCGCTTTGGGACGTCCTCCTGATGTGAAAGGTGGTGCGTAAATGTAATTTGTTGTTGTCCCCTTATGAGTTTGTCTCTATTGCTGTCTGACTGCCTGACACATGAGCGTGCAGTTCAGTCACCAACGGGCGTAAGACTTGAGAGAGGGTCGCTCATCTGGAGCCAAATACACTTCCTCATACTAGAAAGGAGGCAAAGAGGAAATGAGAAGTTTCCCGGGATATCACTGCCAGCAGAGCATCACTGACTAACCACAGCCAATTTCTGCTAGAAAATAATACCTCGGGGTACAGTGTATAGCTTGGGACACGACATGTCAAGTGACTGCCAAGATAGTGGAAGGTGAACTGGGTAGACCTTGGTCCTCTTTCATCCAACAAATTCTTATGAATGGAAGGAAGGAAGAAAGGAAGGAAGGAAGGAAGGAGACGAACGAACGAGACAAAGAAACAAAGCAAAACATGTTTTTGTGAAACATTGGTCACCTGCACGTCTGTGGATCGAACCTCTTGCCTTTGAGGAAACAGGAGGATAAGGACTCGGTGCATTGACAGGTGCACTTGTGCGGGTCGAGTGGCTGTGACTTGGGGCAGATCCTGGTGCAGACACATTGGCAGGTGGTCTGGTCCCACTCCTCGTGCTCCCCGCACGTTCCCCTGGGCGGCTTGTGGTCACACACGCACCGACAGGTGCTCTCGTCCAGCTTCTGGTTGGGGCCACAGCTGGACGTCGAGAGCCCATTCGCGCAGACACAGTCGCACGTGTCTTCGTTGAACTGCATGCGAGGGCCACAGATGTCGTCCTCTGTGTCTCCTGTGAGCGTGTGGGGGAACATGTCAGCAACAGGATGTTTTTTTGCCAGCCAGTATCTGCTACTTTTTCTTTACAACAACTCAGGTTTTTACACAGCGCCCTTCACACAGGATAGCCTCTCGGAGCGCTGCACAGTGGCGGGGTTAGATATTGAGCAAGGGAGAAGGGGAGGGAGTAGGTGACCTTAGGCGCGGTCGAAGGAGTAGTAATAATAATAATAATTAGTAATAATAATAAGTCCTAAAGTGGGATTTCAACATAGATGAAGAGGGCATGAGGCGGAGGGGTTGGGGCAGGAAGTTTCAGAGGATGGCTGAAGTCAAGTAGAGTGATAATTCATTGCGCAGGGACTTTACCTGTCGGAATATACAGTCACTACACTTTACAGTACATCCTGTGAAGCACTCCCTCCCGACGTGAAAAGGCGCTATGTCACTTGCAAGGATTGGTTGCGATTATCATAAGATCAGGAACTCACGGTGAACAGCCTACGTTTAAAATCCTGTCACACAGCATCTCATGTAACTTAAAATATTTAACCATTGAGTAAATTAATCCCTACAAAATCAGCGATGCTTTTTGTCGCTGAATAATATCCACTGGTCTCATAATTCTGCTTCAAACTGCAACACCATTCCCTTATTATTATATCGCCTCAATGGTTTACTTGGGCAGATGTTTTCATCTCATTTCACCCCCTTATCTCCCTTCTCCTTTAAGGCCCACAAATTCCATCCAATCTTGAATTTTCAAACAATCTTTAGCCCCGCAAACATTTCTCTGAAATGACAATATCCCGTACGTTACAGAGCATATTGTTGTAGAAAGTTTCGGGAATGTTTATTCCACAAGTGAGAGGGCCAAGCACACAGTTTCACTTCTTTCTGATGAGACATTAAGACCTGGTCTCCTCTTTGGGTGGATGTTAAAGATCCCTTGACTCGAGCGTAGAAGAAAAGGTGTCCTGGCCAACAGCCGACCAGTACAGATCGACTATTCACTTAGCGCTCGTTCAATGGGACTTTACTAGCATTGACAACAGCCATCTTTGCCTACAATAACAGTCACTACGCTTGCAATTGATGAACCAGGAAGGTGCTCCGAGATGTTTCTGGGTGACGAGGTGCTATGAAAGATCCAAGTTCTTTCTTTAATAACCTCTGCAGTCAACAGAACACCGTGTGCAGTATGTGACGTGCATGAACATGTTCCCTGCAGTTTGCTCTGTTGTTTATGCTCCAATGTATTGTGTTATTCTGCAGCCTATTATGTTTAGCTATAATAATAATAATAATAATCCTTGCGTTTCATACAGCTCCTTATCGCGTCGTTGAGACGTCTCAAAGCGCTTCATGGAATATCCTACAGTCAAATGGCTGTGCATTTTGTTTCTGCTTTTCAGATATTTAATTTGCTCCTTAAAGTTAAGCTATAGTTCTGGGTTATGTGCGTAACAAAATTCTCCCAACCTCTCTCTTTGTTCTTTCGGCAATTACCTTATGTCTGTACCCTTTGTCAACTGACTCACCAAACCTTCATTATTTTAAAGACCTCTAAGTTCTCCTCTCAACCTTTACTCCTCTTGGAAAAACTTCTCCAATCTCACCTTCTCACCCCTTGTATTATCCGAGTCCATCTCCCCTGCACTCTCTCCACGACCTTGTGATTGGCTTCCATGTTTCGCCCACAAAATATACAGTTAATTCGCTTTACAGTGTATTCTGTGAAGTGCTTTGATATTTGTTAAGTCAAAGAATTAAGGGATGTGGGCAAAGTGGGAGTAATTGGAGTTGAGCTACAGATCAGCCATGATCTTATAGAATGGCGGAAAAGGCTCGAGGGGCTGAATGGCCTCCTCCTGTTTCTGGGTCTCAACGACATGGTACGGTGCTATATCAAATGCAAAGATTATTATTATTACTGTCCCTCGTTGAGTGAGGTGTTCCAAACTGATCACAAGCTTCAGCTTGCAACCTAGCGACCTGCAATGCACGTATCTGGCAATACAGCTCAGTAATTGAGTGCTTCGAGTCTCTGGACTGGAGTCTTTGAAATCTTTTTAATGTGTTAAATGAACATTGGCTGATCTGTAACTCATGTGGAACATATTGGGAAGAGTCTGTACTTGTCCCCACAGTGGCTAACTTTCCTGGCTAACAGAAAGGATTGTGAAAGTGCACTCTCTCTGCTCTTGGCTTCTGCTGCATGTTGGGGTCTGTTATCTGAGCTTGGAGCGCAATAATAATCCTTGCATTTGTTATAGCGCCTTATCACGTCTTTGAGACGTCTCAAAGCGCTTCGCAGAATATAATAATAATAATAATCCTTGCATTTGATATAGCGCTTTTCACGTCAGGAGGACGTCCCAAAGCGCTTCACAGAACACACTGTAAAGTGAATTGACTGTATATTTGTGACGAACGCGGCAGCCAATTGCACACAGCAATGTCCCACAAACAGTCGTAGATTGAAAATGACCAATTTATTATTGTTTTTGGATTTGGAGGGATTATTATTAGGCTCTGTGTGGAGTAAGGAAACTTGCCCAAGGTTTCGCCCTGTCTGGAATTGAACCCAGGTGTCTCGCTTGAGTGCTCTAACCACTGAGCTACAGGACTCCACAAATATACTGTCAAGTAGATTGACTGTGTGCTTTGCGGGCGAAACGCGGCAGCTAATTGAGCACAGCAGCGTCCCACAAACAGTCACGGATTCAGTGACCACATTTTTTCTTTGAGGGGTTATTATCCCCGGAAAGCGATCCGCCAATCGACTAACAACAGGTTCCTACTTACTGCTGGATAAACAGCGGCGTGTGGAGTAAGGAAACTTGCCTAAGGTTTCGCCACCTGCCCGGGAATCAAACCCGGGTCCTCTCGTGTATGAAGCAAGCCCGCTAACCAATACAATTATCACTGCTTCCTCGAGTCGATCTGTACCAAAGAAGAGAAAATGGGATTGAGTTTGCTAACCTTGACCGCTGGGGGCTGAGCTGAAGATCTCCGAGTCAGTGAGACAGTCACAGTAACTGGAGTCCCAGGTCAGGCCGTGAGAACATGTTTTGTTTGCCAGAACGCACCTAGAGAGAGAAACACGTTAGGTTTAGACCAACCATTAGGTCTGAGCTCAATCAAGATTCCAGTCTGGTTGTTGCTGTTGGCCTGTAAACTACAGACAGAGTTACGTTTCTACTATACAATAATATCTGATCCATGCAATTGGCAGAGCGCCCGTTCACATCGAGCAGACGTTTCACAAGATACACTATACAATGCAGTGACTGGGTGTTTTGTGGGCAAATGCAACAGCCAATTTGTGCGCAGTGATGTCCTGCAACTATCAAGAAGTGAATGACCAGTTTTATTTGGGGTGGGGGTGTGTGGGGTGGGGGAGGATTGCTGGCCAGGACACTGGGAGAGAAAAACTCCCTTCTCTTTTCGAATAGCCCCATGGGATCTTTACCGTCCACCCGGACAGGCAGACGGGATCTCGGTTTAACTTGTTGTCATCCAAAGAACGGAACCTCCAACAATTATGCACCCACCCCATGACTGCACTGGAGAGTTAGCCTCGACTGTGATCCCAACAGTCCTCATCAAGCAATCCCGTAAAAAAGTATCTGTTGCACATCATATTCTGGGATTTGCCCAGAAGCCGTGTCGTGGGCGAAAACATAACTTTCTCACGCACAATACACAGTCAATTCGCTTTGCAGCACATTCTGCGAAGTGTTTGGGACGTCTGAATGACGTTATAAGGCGCTATTAAGCATTGTGATTTGAGCACAGTGTCCTTACCCTGACTGTGGTGCCCTCAAGGAACGTCTAATGATGGAGTGCAATGGTGAGTCTGGTTTGGGCTGACAGCGACAGGCCGTGTGGTTGAGGAAGCTGACAGTTACGGGCCGGGGTATCTGGGCTTTCGGCAGCTTGATCTCCATCAGCTAGAGAAACAAAACACAAAGGTCTTCCAGAGACTCCGAGCCGGGGTGGGGAGGGAGGAGTTGACCGTCAGCACGGTCGAAGAAGAGAAAAATAGTCCGACATTTAACCTCGCAACAGCAACGCTTCACCAGGAGCTTTCAACGCAGTAGTAATAATAGCAATGACAACATAATAACAGGAGTCCTAACAAAATATAGTAATAATATAATAATGCTAATAGTAATAATAATCCTTTCGTTTCACATCTTTGAAACGTCTCGAAAGCGCTGCGCAGGATTTTACTGTAACGTGTAGTGACTGTGCGTTTGCCAATTTTCACACAGCTAACGTCCCCACAAACAGCCACTGATCAAATTCGTCTGCCAGGATTGTTGGCCAGGATGCTTGGAGAAACTCTAATCTTTGCTCCTTTGAATGGGATCTTCAACATCCGTGCGGACACGCGGAGCGGACCTTGGTTGAACATCAGATCAGAAGGAGAATGGAGCGCTCCCCCAACATTGCACTGGAGTGTCCTAACGTTGGCTTTGAACCCATCACACGTCTCCGATGCAGAGGTAAGATAGCTACCAACTGAGCCAGGCTCTTGCTCTCCACTGACAGAGAGGCTGTCCCAGTTCTTCTGGTGACAATGTCCGTACCAGTGTTCCTGTCTGTTCCACCACATAACACAACAGAAAATGACATGTACACGGCTCCTTTCACGGCGGGAGGACGTCCCAAGGAGCTGGACAGTCTGGGATTTGGACCCGAGCTGGGGGTCAGGATCGGGGAGGGTGAAGGGTAGGAGAGTGGCCGAAAGCGCGGTCGAAGAGGAAGCAATATAACGACTGCATCTCTATCTGTCACTCTATCAAACTGTAACAGTGCACCAATGTACAGTCCTACACCGCACCCCATTTTTTTTTAACCCTCAAACAAATATTCGCCGTTGGGTGAGTGACTGATTCATAATGAGGAGACCTTTTTGTTGCCAATAAATCGTGATAATAATCCTTACTTTTGATAAAGCGCCTTTCACGGCGAGATAACACCTGAAAGCGTTTCTCAAGATACATTGTCGAGTATCGACTGTGTGTTTTGTAGGTAAACTATTTCAGATTATGCATTGTTTTTTGTGAGATTAAGGGGGAAGATCTCCTCTGTCACCCCTTTCCCCTCCTTGGTCTCTGGCACCTTAAGACACGCACACCTTGACCTGCGATGCGAGAGATCGGTTTGGTGTTGCCATTCAATACCTGGGCACCAGGGGGCAAAAAAGGTCACCCTCTGCGTGGAGAAGGTCCGGGGCTCTCTCGTGATTCACGGTGGCACAACAGCTGACAGCTACTTAATGCGTGTCAGAGCCTGGCACAGTGGTTGCGCTCTCGCCTCTGAGGCAGAAGGTTGTGGGTTCAAATCCCACGCCGGGTCTTGAACTCGCATCGTCTAAGCCGACGCTCCAGTGCAGCTCTGAGGTCGTGTCGCATTGTTCGGATCCCCTAAATAAAGATCAGTCACTCGTTTCGTGGCTGTTTGTGGGGACGCCGCCGGACGCGATCGCGCTGCCGGGTTTGCCTACGAACGCACAGCCGCTGCAATGTGCAGTCAATCCCGTGAAGCGCTTCGAGCCGTCCTTCTGAGATGACCGGCGAAGCGGCCGATGCCAAATGCAAAGATTATTATCAGCATTATTATGATTTGCCTACAAGTACACAGTCAATGCACTTTAGAATACGTTCCGTGAAGCGCTCTGAGACGTGATCACAAGGCGCGTGTATGATTATTAATGCCATTAATAAAACTGCACGTGGAATAAAAGCACAGGAGAGAGAGGACTTACCGTCTTACTGACAAATGCAATGCTGACATTGACACACTGGAGTCCCTCGTTGTTGCAACAGCCTCCACATCTGTGGACAGACACACAGGGAGGTTTGTAGAACGTGTTTGTTGTAGGCCCAAGCTCTTTCCCCACATCCAAGCACACTTCTCTAGGCTTACACTGAGTCTTTTCCCATTCAAGTTCAATATCTGTCAAACGATGTGTTTTAGTTATTAGTGAGCAACTTTAAAAGAACGGATACTTTGCAAACGGCAGGCGGCGTGAGGGCTTGAGCTAAGTCTTTCACGTGCTTCGGGATGGGAGGGTGGGGGGGGGGGGCGTGGGGTGGGTTTGGGTGGGGTGGGTGGCAGGGGAGGGGAGGGGGGGAAAGGAGGATTGCGGAAATAACAAGGAGGAACGATAAAACTATTTACCACAAGGCCTGGCAAGTTACGAGCGTGGCGGGCTGTTGAATTCGGTCGTAACTTTGGAGTTGCGGTCGCTATACGGTTACAAACTTAACAATAATCCCTGCGTTTGACGAGAGCGCCTTATCACGCCTTCGAGACGCCTCAAAGCGCTTCACGGGATACACTGGAAAGCGAATCGACAGTCAGTGTATGCTCTGGGCCGAACACGGCACGGAGGTTTCCGTGGCGCCTTTTCATGGAGGGAGAGAACGTCCCGAGGCGCTTAAAAGCACTTAAGCTCAGAAATATATCGCTGCATAGGGCGGCCATAAGGTTTGACCACCCTGTTCTGAACTAACGTGCCAGCAATCACACGCCGAGGCTTGTGCTCATCGCTCCTTAATCGGTCACTGATTTGATTAAGTAAATGAATCGACAACGAACTCTCCCTCACTTTTTAAATCTTCCTTGTTCCACATCATGAAGACGGCAGCCTCCGCGCCACTGCCTTGGCTCGTTTTGTACTGAGCTGCCCAGCTCTTCCTCTCCAGACAGGCGTGAATCCTCCTGTACTCCGGGTAAAATATATCCACTAACTCGGTCACGCTCGAAGCAGATCGGAGCTGCCTCTCCAATTCGGCACTCACCTGACTCTGCAACAGAGAAGACTCAGTGAGTTAAGGCACCTTGATAACAATAATAATAATTATTATTATAAGAATAATACTTGCATTTGATATAGTGCCTTCGCACATCATTACAACACCACCAACACCAACACCACCACCAACAGCAACAGCAACATTGCATTTGTGTAGTGACTGTCAAGTCGAGAGGACGTCCCGAAACATTGGACAGTCAGGGATCTGCACCTGAGCTGGGGGTTGGGATCGGGAGGGGTGGAGGGCGGGGAGGGTAAGGGTAGGAGTCAGTAAGAGTCAGTAAGACATCTCAAAGCACTTTTTACAGGATATATTGTAAAGCCAATTGCGTATGTGAGTGTCCCACAAACAGTCGTGGATCAAGTGACCTAATTATTATTATTATTTTTGTTTGGAAGGGTTTATTACCCCCGGAAAGCGATCCACCAATCGACTACCGACCGAGTTCCTACTTACTGCTCGGTAGACAGAGGCGTGTGGAGGCAGGAGACTTGCCAAAGGTTTCGACCCGGCCGGGAATCGAACCCGAGTCCTCTCGCTCGCGAGGCGAGTGCTCTGAATGTGCAGGATCGCTCCTGAGGCTGGTGAGTGGTGATTAACGAATCTCCTGGGCCACCTTGACTTTGCTTGCCCTAACACTTCGCTCGTTTCCTTGAGTCTCGACAGTATACGCGGTCAACTCCAACCGCGATTGAAGAGCTAATAGTGTCGCAATATAGTGTCACAGTGTCTTCCAACTAACGGTGCAATGTATATTGCTAAACAAACTGCAAAGAGGATATATTATATTCTCAGACGGGCAAATAACGAAATCCTGACGTTCAACCCTCTAGAGTTCTTTGACCTACAACTTCAATATTCTTCTCAAACGTACGGACATGAGCAACAGGTCAATCACAGCAGCCGGGCCAATCCGAAACATGCTCGAGAATTTTCCGCGTGCTTTGCTTTGCTTTGCGAGGCTACTTTCTGTTGAGTAACGGCAGCAGAATTTAGTTCCAGCCAAATGACTTTCGTAAACATGTTCTAATGGTCAACATGTGGTCCCTCTTTACATGGGAGTCCGGTCCACGGAATGTGAAAAATGCACACACCGCACTTTCGTCTGGAGTTTTAATGGAAAGCAGCTGATCATCCTGCACCATTAGTGGAAGAAATCATTCCCGAGCAAAGAGGTTTCACTGGTAATTGCCGTAGAGTCGGCTGCAGATTTTCCATTCGACGGGCAATTTGCTTTGCAAACAATGTGGTAACAAGACCCCCCTGTTGACGTGCAGCCCCTCTCCTGCTGTGCGCGTTATTCCATTTGCGATCCGTAAAATCTCACCTTCGGAGCACACTGTCACTACACTTGACAGTCAATTCCCCCCACCCCCACTGAAGCTTTTTCAGACGCTTTCCTGATGCGAAAGGACCCATCCCCAAACCCCAAGGATTATTTTAATGATAGTTTGACATACAATCAATTCACTGTGCAGTATGTTCTGTGAAGCGCTTTGAGACGTCTGGAAGACGTGATGTCAAATGCAAGGATTATTGTTATTAATGTGACATTGTCACAAATTCACAACCATACCGTGTTCTCTGCGTTTTCTGGATGCAAGCGATCGGGCACGAGCAAACTCAGAAGCGAATCGAACAGAACGCTGTCAGACGTGTTACAAAAGTACTCGTTTGTTACCTCTTTAATAATAATAAAAATAATAATCCTTGGGTTCGTTACAGCGCTGCATCGTGTCGTTGAGACGTCTCAAAGCGCTTCGCAGAACATACTGTAAAGTGGAGTGACTGTGTATTTTGTGGGCGAAACGCGACAGCCAATCGCACCCATCCGCGTCCCACAAATAGCTCGTGGATTGAGTGACCGAATTTGATCACGATAGTGTCCATAATTTAGACGTCTTCACTATTAGGCAGTCTGAAAGAAGGCAGGTGTTTGGATAGTCGAAGTGTGAAGGAGTATGGTGAAAAGTTGGGGAATTGGGACTAAAACCTCTGCCAAGATCTAGTAATTTGGGGCATCTCAGAGCGCTTCAGAGAATATATTGTCCCGTGGATTGACTGTGTATTTTGTGGGCGAAACGTGGCAGCCACTTTTATTTACTTTAGGCCACCTCTAACTCACAGGCTGTCTGAAAGCGAGTCCTGGATCCTGCATACCCTCATTGACGATGCAAACCCACAGGTTTAACATGATACTTTACGTCGCAATAAAAATCCCTCTCGCCAGCAGTTGACGTGGAGCTCTTAAATTAACTTTTTAACACATTGTATATCCAAAACAGCTCAATTAGGGCACTCGCCTCGCAAGCGAGAAAACCTGGGTTTGATTTGCGGGAGGGACAAAACCCTGGGCAAGTTTCTTTACTCCACCCGCCTCTGCTTATCTGGCAGTAAGTAGAAACCCGGTTGTTAGTCGATCGGTGGATTATTTTTCTGGGGGTAACAACGCCTTAAAAATTAAAAAAATAATAATATTAAGATTTTGGTCACTTAATCCACGACTGTTTGTGGGGAAGCTGCTGTGCGCAATTGGCTGCCGTGGTTTCGGCCACAAAACACACAGTCAATTCACGTTACAGTATATTCTGTGAAGTGCTTTGAGATGTCTCAACAATGTGATAAGGCGCTGTATCATTATTATTATTATTATTATCAGCCACTCTGACACCAGTTGTCACAGGCTTTAATACCCGCACAGCTCATTAAAGTAAGCAGTCACTTCCACTGCTTTGCCAAAACATTCTCCGCTTCACTTAAGTTCCCATAAACGGATAATAATACTAATAATAATAATAATAATAATAATAATAATAATAATAATAATAACAATCCTTGCATTTGATGTAGCGCTTTTCACGTCGGGATGATGTGAACAGTTTGCTTGCAAAGTGCAGCCCACATTATTCCCTCGAGATAGAGAACACCAGATTGCATGTCTGCGATGTGCAGTTGTTTCCAAGGTAAATATGGCACGACGAGGTCCAAATTCCACTTTGCCTTAGCCTTAACACCACTCCAACTTAAATTTTACGATCCCCAAAGAATCACAAATTCTTTCCAATCTGGAAATCGCATTATTTTTAAGAATCCCAGGAACCCGACTTTCCGAATCGAACGGTTTTAAGGCCTTGAATTGTACCCGAATCCGTCCCTTCTTTTTCGAAACATTACATACATAATCAAATAAGCGCTAGCCTTCTCGGGTGGTGTTTTTATTGCGTTACATCTCAAGGCGTTTCACTAACAATGAAGTTCAAAAACAATGAGTTACTTTGAAGTGCAGTATGCAGCTCGTTGCACTCGATAGCACTCTTGCTAATGAGTCAGAAGTTTGTAGGTCCAAGCCCCATGTCGGTGACTTTGAGTTCACAGTCTACCCTGTCAATCTAGTGCAGCGATGGGGGAGTGTTGTTACTGTTGGAGGTACAGTCCTTCAAGTAAAACAGTAACCTGAAATCCTATCTGTCCATTTAGATGCCTTTTAAAGATCCCATGGCCCTATTCAAAAACGAGAAGGGAGTTTCTCCTGGTGTCCTGCCCAAAACTGCCCCGGAGAGAGAAAAAAAATTCCAATTAATGGCTATCTATGGGACATTGCAATGTACAAACTGGCAGACGTGTTTGCCAGTCATTAGAGTTTACCAAAAACCTCTCTGACGCATTATAAAGCTCTGTGTCAAATGCAAAACATGCCACAAGCAGCAGAGTGAAATATGACTCCTAATTAATCTGCAGCATTTTTTTTTGGCCTGGATACCGGAGGCCATTAATACCGCCTAGTTTTAGCCCGGCAGTCCACATTGCAAAAACAAAAATTGGGGAATGCACAGAATTGTGAAAAGTTCTTCGATTCTATCGTAATTTGTGAACTGTTCCCCTTGTTAAAAGCTGCGGAGCAAACGGCTTCCCGATCTACGAATGCAATCAAGAATAGTCCGCAGTCCTGTGCAGTTCTTAAACCTTCAGACAAGATAGTGTGACAGACAAAGACTGGGTGAAAGTTGGGGACTCCCATACATGCTATGACTCCACGTCCAGAGGAGAAGCCCGATTTATCTGCTCACGTTAGGCCACGGTGACGCTGAAATGAAATGGAACAGATTGGATGTGACACTGTAACATGCACTGGAATGTCTTGTTAACCATTTGCAGATGACTTTTCCTGCAACTTGGGCCAATAACATCGCGCCCATTGATTCTCCCGGGCATTCAGCGCTTATCGCAGGGCAAGGGAACACACTGAGAATTAAGGTCTGCTTGACAACTGTGTGCTGAGCAGGACAGTTGGAATCTGTGTCTGGACTGATGTCCAGTGAACACACGAAAGGCAGAACCCCCTAGAAACGTTCTAAAGTGTAATCGAATACTTTTTAATGCCTCATCTCGCAGAGCTGACCGCAAACTGAGTAAGGAACGGAAGAATGTTTCGCAAGCAAAGGGGAAATCCAGGTCTATTTGTCCCGCTTTCCCGATTACTGGTAGGCATAGGAGTCAAACACCCAAGGAGTAGGCGGGGGTGGGGGGCGGCGGGGGTGGTGTGGGAGTGGAGGCTGGTAGGAGAAGGCGGAGGAGGGGTGAAGGCTTCACATGCAGATGCCGATAAACTAATGCAGGTCCCAGTTGTGTGGGGAGCACGGGAAAACTGGCCAAGGAATGTGATTATCCCGCAGTGTGAATTACACTGTGAGATTGGCACCCTGCAGTCGTTGCCTGTGAGCGTCTGGGAAAACTGCATCGTTTCACCTTCAGAGGATTTCACCTGGGTGTATTTTTTTTCCATTCTGCTCTCAGCGGATTAAACACAGAAATCAACCGCGGTGAAGAGTTCACACGCTCTGTGGCAAACCAGAGAGCCGGAATGCCAGGGAGCATTGTCCTCGTTCTGCGCCTTATTAAACTATCCTCGCGGTATGATGTAGCGCTTAATCCTGTCATCTCCAAGCGCTTCGCAGGAAACACTGCAAAGTGGGAGTGGAGCCCTCCGAGGT